ACCCTGACTGAACCCCACCTTCTCCCCAGGCCCTGATGCCGCCTGCAGCAGGCTCCTCGTCAGGCAGTATCGACATGGAGCTGCTGAAGGAAAGGGAGATCGACAGAAGCAGGCTGCAGGGCGGAAAGCTCCTGGGAGAGGGCGCTTTTGGACATGTCGTCGAGGCAACGCTCACACAACCCGAGGAAGTCGATGTGGTGGTGACTGTAAAGAAACTACAAAGGTAATTTTAGGTGTATTGCTGTGCTCATATTTGCTATTATATAATTGTAGAATAGACGCGTACATGAATATATGATGTAAAACTGATTATGTAAATGTTTATCTAGACGATGATGACCCCCAGGCCAGACAGGCCCTTCTGCGGGAAACCTGCATCATGTTGTTGTGCGGTAACCATGACAACGTCCTCAGGCTGAAAGGCATCTGTTTTAGAGACGGTCAGTTCAGAATCTTTGTGGCTCATGGGTATCTATGTGTGGTTGGTTTATTTTCTTTTGAAATTAACTTTTGCCCTGAATATGTTAGGTCAATACTTCATGCAGGTAAGGCTGTTCTGGCAGTGAGGAAGAAGATTCCATAGTCCATACTGAAATATTTTTCCAGGCCCGCTCCAACTGGTTCTGGAATATGCCGAACACGGGAGTCTCCTTCACCTGCTGTGGACTTTACGTGCGGAGTCCAAACTCAACAGGACCGTTCTGGTCAAAAAACGGCACATCTTCGAGAACATGATGGTGGAGGTCTGCTGCGGACTGGAGCACCTGGCGACCATGAGGGTAAGGAAATCTTGAGAAACTGTTCCTCAATCTTTCCCTTCCGAATCCCCACCCACTCCGATTTTGTCAGCGAAATCAAGGGATTTTCTTTTTGAGGTTAGATTGTCTTTTCAGGTAATCAAAGCTAAAAGCTGATAAGATTAACATATTTGGTAACTGAATTACTTATCTTTGCCTGTGTGCAGCTGGTTCACCGAGACATCGCGGCCCGGAACATCCTGATCTGCGGGAAGGGAACCGCCAAGATCGCGGACTTCGGGCTGGCCCGGGACATGTACGCTGTGGGGTACCATCGGCAGCACAGGGTAGGTTCTGGGACATGGACGTTGTTGGGTACCATCAGCAGGACAGGGTAGGTTCTGGGACATGGACGTTGTGAGGTACCATCGGCAGGACAGGATAGGTTCTGGGACATGGACGTTGTGAGGTACCATCGGCAGGACAGGGTAAGTCAGACTAAGCACAGGGTAGGTCAGACTAACAGCGCGATCTTACATAGGGAGCTGGCGCAGTATTTTTGAGTAAGAAAAAGTAAAATAAGTTTAGAATAGGAGGATTCTAGTCAACCGCAGATCCTGTAGTCTTGTCACAGCCGGCTTTGGATAGAACTTGAAGCAGCTGTTCTTTCTTGTTCCTCCAGGGCCACGACCTGCTGCCGCTGAAGTGGATGGCGCCAGAGGGCCTGAAGAACGAGGCTAGGTTCACACACAAGAGTGATGTGTGAGTATTCAACATTGCCTTTAAAAGAAGACACTAACATTTTAGTGGAAACAAACGTATTTATATAATCAGTCATCTCGATTTAATAATTATGCTAATGTGAACTCTTTCCAATCTTATACACTATGAAATATGCACTTCCAGCTGGTCCTTCGGGGTTCTGTTGTGGGAAGTGGCGCAGCTGGGCCGCACGCCGTATCCTGGGATGGAGGGGGCAGGCAGAATATATGATGCTCTGCAAAACCACTTCAGACTCCCTAGGCCTCAGTTGTGTACAGAAGAAAGGTAAGCCCGGGATGTTTCCTGAGGGAAAAATCAATCAGTACAAGAATCAATTCTAAGGTGCGCCTGTGTTTGTAGATTGAGATACAGGAAATTTTCTAAGCGTAAGTACAATTAAAGTCTGACGTCAGATTCCTGGCCTCGCATTCGAACTTGTTTTAGCTGCCGAGTCTGTGTTGTTGCGTTTAAGATGAAGTATACTCGGCAACTGCAACAGATGTGGATAACAGACTTACAATTTTCTAGATACGTTTAAGTGTCAAACGTGAATGGGTTTATTAGAATACCGGAGACCTAGAATTTTGGTTTTATTGTAAAGTAACAGCAAAAAAGTAAAAATGCTGATCTTCTCCAGATACCAGCTGATGCTGAAGTGCTGGAAGTTTAACGAGAAGTCCAGGCCGGACGCCACAACTGTCAGGAAACTACTGAAGGCGGATCCCAACGTGAGATGTTCCTGCTTCTTAACCTGATTACCTTTAAGGTCTCTACAATGCAGTACGTTACTATGAGATTGTATTGGGTTTAGATATTATTATTAATTGATACAAATATTAGTCTAGTTCTTGGCAAATTTGCTTAGTACAAGGTTAAGACACCACTAGTACGATTATGTTGTGTTATTTGGACTCCAGGAAGAAAAGTGTAAATGTAGCATAACAGTAATGGGGATCACAAACAAACAAAGAAACAAACAAACAAACAAACACTAGGCAGTGGGGACTGAACTATGTTAGAGTTATTGGAACAGCATCTCTTCTCCGTTGATATTTTTGATGGACAATGACTCAACAGAATGAAAATAAAGTGTCAAATTTGCGGTATTCAAATCCATCGGCCACTCCAATTAACGTTGCTGTGTTGAATGTCCTAGTTATAATAATATTAAGGTAATATAATTTTCTCCTCCAGGGCTTTTTCTACTTCAACGCACCTGTGACAGCGATAGAGGCACCATTAACTCCGGTATGAGACCTGTGGCAGCGATAGAGTCACAAATAATTAACTCCGGTATGTGACCGAATCGGACGCAAATACAAGGCTAAAGTGACGTCAGCCTGGATATAGCTGATGGCTGCACAAGACTGGACAATACTACTATTAATGTGACCCTCGTGGTTTGATACATGATGTAAACAGTATGTTTAGTTTACAGACACAATTTTGCCAAGCTGGCCTCCTATTTTAGTATCTATCAAATGCTTTCTACTACAACTACTGAATTGGTTCTGCATTCCTTTTGTATCACTGTAGGTAGTTCAGTTCAGTATGTACCACTTGTAAAGTTGATTTCGTGTCTCAATAAAACCCAACTGAACACGTGCATCAGGGTTTATGTGTATGGAGACCTATTTATAGTATTACCACCGCACAAGCTCAAAGTATTGCACATACATGTTACACTACTGTTTAGAGTTAAAACTTAAGATCCAACACAAAAAGTTCTATCACCTAGAGCTTACATCTTTGAAACTGTTGGGGGGAGGTGGGGGGCTCATTGCCCCCCCCCCCCAGAACTCGACTATATTATATGACCGCCAACTTACCATGGTATACTAGTGATAATCAATTACATTTCGATATCATTATGACGTCACATGATGTCATTATGACGTGTCATGGGATGTATTGCCTAAAACCGTTTCTCTTAAACCTGGTATACAGCACAAGTTTAACAAAAAGTGTTTTTTTTTATTCAGAAACACGATGATTACAAAAGAAAAGACATGGACTAAGTGACTGCGAACTCAAGTTAGATGCAACTTATATTCTCGCAGCCACTTTTACAATGGAAGAAAAATATTTTACAAGACATTTAAAATACATGAGACCTCGCGTGAGTTACAAACCTCCCATCCCAGAAGACACATACAGTTAGAATCTTTTTGTTTCTAATATATAATTTTGTGCGGCTAACATTATTTTGCAGTTGGTATCATACGTTCAAAGGAAGCTACCGCGAAGAACTAAATATTGTATAGAATTATCAGAAAGGGTGTTTAAATCAACAATATTACCAAGTATGCTTGAAAGCTTGCCAAAAAGGACTAAGCGCTGGTAGGTATATATAGGGCAGTGCAATAAATAATGAGCAATCGTTTCGTATGGACACCCACAGCTACAGGATGGACTTGTGACAAGACCTCGGGTATAAAGACTGTGATTCAAGCTGCAGGTGCCCAGACGAAGTCGGGTAATGAGAATACAGGAAGAACGAGACCCAAAGCTAAAATGGTTTAGCTTTACAGGACGTACCGATTTGAAAAGATATGAACGAAATTTTGGATACGAAAGAGTACGGATTTCTAAATTCAGGTTGTTCCATCCAGTGATGGAATATGGTATAAAAGACTTTCCAAAACGATTGGTAGAAAATTTGATGGTTCTCAGATTACTACTGTTTCTCAGATTGTAAATACAAGTCCCAGTAATTGTACATGGAAGTAGATCTGTAAGATATTCCCGGTACATCCGTTTAC